TCTAAACCACTTCTCCACAAGATAAAATCTAAAATTAAGAGTCAAAATAAAACTAATTGAAACGATAAGGGCTAAAATAATATTAGGGACAAAATGTAGGGAATATAATTTGTCCTTATTTTTTGAACCTATCTAAACAAGGTGAGAAGTAGAGGTGTACATGGGTCTGCTCGGGTCGGGTTAGGCCCCTATTTACTGTCGAACCGAAATAATTCGGGTGAATGAAAAACCCAACTGCTGCTAACTAGATTGGTTGCCAAAACTGCTCGTTGATGATTTTCGGTTCCACGGTTGGTTTCGGATCGCGTGGGATGAGACCATTAGAGAATCTATGGATGCATTAGGGTTTTAGAGAGAGAGAGAGAGTGAGAGAGGAAAGGGGTAGACGAGTGCTCAACATCGTCATCTGTCGTTTGAGTTTTTTGAGATATAAGATGGTTTGATATTTGTGTGTGTGTGTGTGTGTGTGAGAGAGAGAGAGAGAGAGAGACACACACACACACACACATACACACACATATACAAAAGGGGTTGGTGAGACTCATCATCATCTGTTTGTTGAGTTTTTTGAGATACAGAGATATGATTAAAATCTGTGGCTGTTAAGAAGGGGAAAACATAATGGTCTTGGAAGTTGTGTGTAATCTTCCAAACTAATTAGGTAAATACAAATGGCAATGAAACCAAGATTTTGCATCATGAGTAATATATTCAGTCGGTTCGGATTTAGTCAATTTTTATGATTAAAACTGAAAACCAATCGAAACCTGAAATTATAAATGAAAAATAGACCCGTCCCTAACTAATTTTAAGGTCAAAACCACTCATAATGTCTTTGGGTCGGTCAGGTCAGGTCAGGTTGGATTGGTCAAGTGATTCGGGTTGCTTAAACACCCCTAGTGAGAAGTACACAAAAATTAGCTCCCAAACTAGACCCAATGAAAGGATGGGACTAGAGGGTAGTGCAAAGGGGAAATTAGAATTCAATGGGAAAGTGAGATAAATAATTACTATTAAACAGTGAGAATCTGCTCGACATACAATTTTTATTGTATTTTTTTACAGGCGCAAAAATAAAAAAAAAGAAATAAATAAAAATTGCACTATATATTTGTAATTATTTTTAACAATATAGACCGATTTGTAATTTTTTCTAGTGTAAATCCAAACAAATCCAAACTAATTTTAAAGCACTAATACTACAATTTTTGAAATTTTACGCAAAAAAGATCTAGAACATATAGACCCAACACTGTACAAATTTAATTTTAACCACACAATCTAATTTGGGAAAAATTATGCAAATTTACATGTGGGTTCATAGAATTATTGAATAGGGATCCTCCTTTAGGCCATAAAAGTGATTCTCCATTTGAGTGGCTTTTTTAGTCACTTATAGATTTTACTTTTGGAAAAATTATTTTGACTATTTTGTTAGCCTTATTTTAAACAGTTTCTAATTTTAATAATTTATTTTAATTCAAAAAAATTGATTATGAGAAGTTGTCTATCCTGCTTCTGATTATCAGCTTTTGATTATAAAAACTTATTTACGATTGCACCCATAGAATTTAAAAAAATAAAATAAAATAGAAAAGACCCAAATTAATTGTGGACTAGTTTTTATTTTTATTTTTTTAAATTTTTATGGGACTAGTAGTTAATAACAAAAAAAAAAAATGCTAATTCAATTTACAACTAACAAAAATTAATTCAATTTACAATTGATAGGGATAAAAATGACATTTACACATCAAAAGTTATTTCACAACTTATTTATCAAATATTACTCAACAACTTAAATTTACAATCCAATAATTACACCAAACAAATTAATAATTTCTAATTAAAATCATAATTTATAATATATTAAATTATAATTTAAATATATTTAACAACTACCCCAAACACTCCAATGTCGGTTAAGAAAAGTGATTCTCCTTTAGGCCACAACGCCACTTCGTGAGAACTCCCAAAAAACAAAAATTAATTCAATTTACAATTGATAGGGATAAAAATGACATTTACACATCAAAAGTTATTTCACAACTTATTTATCAAATATTACTTAACAACTTAAATTTACAATCCAATAATTACACCAAACAAATTAGTAATTTCTAATTAAAATCATAATTTATAATGTATTAAATTATAATTTAAATATATTTAACAACTACCCCAAAACACTCCAATGTCGGTTAAGAAAAGTGATTCTCCTTTAGGCCACAACGCCACTTCGTGAGAACTCCCAAAAAAGAAAAGCTGTGGCGCAATTTGAATTATCACCATCATGATTGATGAACCACTCTTCTTGCAGTGCTGCATAAAGGTGAGTTCTATTGTTTCTTTCTTTTGTCATTCTCATGCATGATCTACAACACATCCTACAACCCCTATCATTCTCTTTGAAACCACCATCAACAGACTGATTTAGGCTGTGTTTAATTTGTCAATCAAACTTAAAAAAGAAAAAAAAAAAGTGCATGATTTGGATATAGGTGTTTCAGCATTGGGTTGCGTGCTTTTTTTTTTTTTTTTTTTTTTTTTTTTTTTTTTTAGATTCAAGTATTTTGTTTTTGGAGTTGAGTCCTTAACTTTTTATTTTTATTTTTATTTTAGTTTTTGCTTTTTTTTAAAAAAAAAATAATGAGATTGAGGGATTGGTTGTATAGATGCGAGTTATAATAGTAGGGGCAGCTTGTATTTCCCGAATCTTTCTCGATGCATTTCATCTTTCAATACCTTTAATTTCATGTTTTTAATGAAATTTTTACTTTGCTGATAAAAAAATAGAAAAAAAAAAAGAAGAAAAAGAGTCCTGCTTCATAATAGAAAAACTAGACACATAAATAAATATTCCATTTATATACATTTGTGTCTATTTTTTGTGATAGATTTGTGTGTTTTTAAACTTGTTTGAATGATAATCATTCAATTCATAATCAATATGGATGAACAAGATATCTATATTTTGGTTAATTATCGTCTTAATTTACTCCACATAATGAACTCATCAGATCACCATACAAAAGTTACATATTTAAGCATAGACTAAAATTTAAAAATATAGAAATCAGTCACTGAACCAGACGCAACCAACCCAAGGGTGGGTGGCATTATGGTTAAGGCTTGGGGTTTAAATCCCAATGTCACAAGTTCAATTCCCTTCCCCTTGGGTCAATCTCCTGGGCGAAGCACAGTTGGTTAGGAGGTTGGACCTCAAGTTGTCTAATCAACACTTGGTGTGGGTTCAATCCTCCCCCGTTGTGCGAGTTCTGACTTAAGCGGAGCTTGTCTTGGGAGGTCGGGGCAAGTTCTCAGGTTATAGTCCTCCCCCGTTGTGCGAGTTCTGACTTAAGCGGAGCTTGTCTTGGGAGGTCGGGGCAAGTTCTCAGGTTATAGTCTCCTCGCTCGGAAAGCCTAACAGGACACCCTAGTAATCTCTGCAAGGAGCGTTGTCTTGGACCTGTGGGAGGGTAGGGATGATTTTCCTGTGACAAAAAAAAAAGAAAAAAAGAAAAGAACCAGATGCAACCTTCTCACCTGAGATTGGTTGAGAGAGTCGTGTTCTGTTACACACAACTTTAATTGATATGTTCATTGAGTTGAATGTCTGGTGACACCTTGGTTTACCAATCCCATTCATGTTATTACAAATCCCATTCACACAGAGGCAGACAAGTAATGGCTAACTTCATTTTGAATTGGCGACAATCAAGTATGCAGCAAGAAATGTTATACTAACAGGAAATATATATAAACTACAACATATAAAAGTTTTAGAAATCAAATTTTTTGGTTTTTAAAAGTAAAAATTTTATTGCAAAAGGAATTTAAGGACTAATTTCCATCGCAATGAGGATAGTTGCTAAAAGGTCATCTCGTATAAAATAAGGCATTTAGCGACAAAAATTTAAAAATGTCAATAATAAATAGCTTTTTAGGAACAAAATAATTTGGTCTTAAAATAGTTTATTTTTTGAGACAAAAAATTTGGTTCCAGAAGGATAATAATTCATCACTAATGTCTAATTTTTGTTGCTAAAAATATAATAACGACATTTTTCACAACAAAATTATTGATCCCTAAAAATAATTTTGTCCTTAAATTTTGGTCTCTAAAATCTTAATTTTTTGTAGTGATATTATACAAAAGGATAAATTATACTGGTATTTTATACATTTTGTTTTTTTTTATTATTTTGGTCTTTACATTTTTAATTAGCTTAATTTTTATTCTAAATTTAGATTTTGTGTCAATTTGATCCAATAACACCGTTAGTATTTTTGAAGAAAAAATATTATTAAATTGGTTGAGATTAACTCTCAATCAACTAAGTAAGTTTATAATTTTTCCTAAAAACATGACACTAGCCAATTATGTATACATTTTCTATTAAGAAATGCTCATTATTATTATTTTTTTAATCGGCTTAAGAAATGCTAATTATTATAATCAATTAGATTAAATTGAGATAAAATTAAAAATTTAAGGTCAACAGTAAGTGAATTAGAATTACAGAGACCAAAATAATCCAATGACCAAAATACAGGTAGTACTGGCATGATTTGCCCCATATAGAAAGATGTGGCTAACTTGTAAAAAATAAGTAATAGAAGTTTAGCAGACAAAACTTCAACTAATTATTAATCACTAATTATTAATCTCAAAATGGGGTAATTTTTAAGTGTGTAAGTGCATATTATATGTATTTATATAAATTGTCACAAATATATGTAAATTAACTCACAAAATTGCATAAATTTTCGAAAATATATGTAAGTTAACCCATAAAATTTGAGAAATCATAACTTGCATATATTTGTGAAAATTTTACGATTTTGTAAGATAACTTATATATGTTTGGAAAAACTTATGAAGGTGTATATGATATACACCTTACCCACCCAAACACTCTCTTAAAAAATCACATAATATACTGATAAAAGAAGAGAAAGAGATCCATATTTTGATATGAACTTGTTCAATCTCACCAGATCACAGCACAAATTCATTTCTGTTTTTTATTGAATTTTTTGTTGCTCACATGATTTGATCAAATTGATCCTCTCTCTCTCTCTCTCTCTCTGAACTGTCACACAAATATGCTGCGGTCCTACTTTAGATAAACCAACAAAAAACTATAAAAAAAACTCAACCACGAACAAGACCACAAGATAGAGCCATTAGCAGGATGGCAGCTTCCTTCTCGTCTTGCGGGAAAATCCGGTGAAAAGCCAAGTTCTTACTCAAACTGATCAAGAAGTCCTCAAAGCAAAGCTTCTTTCTCCCATGAGATTTGGTGGCAAGTTTGGACCTTTTCTGGTGTTTGTGTTGCACCTTAGTAATCTTCATTGTTGAAGTCTCAGCTGCAAGAGTTGCACCATTTGCTGCTGCCGCTGCCATTGCCCTCCGCGCCTTCCTTTGCCGGATTCCACATGCGTTGCAAAGTGACTGCACCACCATGTTTTTTTTGTAAATTAGGTAAAATTTATTCAGATAGATCAAAAATATTATGTACCCAGAAAACAAAATTAGAAAATATTCTAAATTCCGAATATGTGGATCAGATTCATTCCGAATATTACTGGTAGATAGATAGACAATGACGTTCATGGATATGGAGGGTGATATTTACCTTAGGCCCTCTAGGTCCACTTCTCCAAAGAGGGGTCTTAGTAGTGTTGCAATCGGCGCAAACCCTACTTGGGTTGCTTATGTTGCTAGAGAAACTATTGTTGCTGTTATATGTTTCCAAAGGAGAAGAAGGTTGTTTTTGATCTTCGAACTTCATCTTAAGCATCACCCTCGTCTTCGAAGACTTCGACTTAGCTGAACCATTCTGATCACTATGGACTTCGTGTTCAATATCTTGTTTCTTCCATAAGGATGATTTTAAGCCATGATCACTCACACTTTTGGGAATAGCATGATCATGCAATCCGTCTTGAGAAGCAAAATTATTAGCCTAAGATCAAGAAAGTGATCCAGTGATCATTACATCAAGAGACGAGATTAAAATACAATTATTCTTGGCATTTGGTCTTGGTTTCGTTTTTTATTTTCAGTTTTTGAAAAACACATTAAACTTTTTGGAAAACTGATTACACTTTCAAAGAAACACCAAAAATGTTCTTTTTAATTTTCAAAAACTGTTTTCACAAAAAAAAAAAAAAAAAAAAAAAAAAAAAAAAAAAAAAGCAAAATAAACAGCGAAAACAAAGGGAAAAAAAACATAATCAAAGAGGCTCCATCATGATTCAAGTGATCAGCTTGAAAGAAGAGAGAACTAAAAGTTAAGAATATAAAAAAAAGAAAAAAAAAAGAAGAAGATCGGATCACATAATCCATCAATAGCTAAGTAGCTAGCTAGTAGTACCTGTTGTTGATATTTTAGTTGATGTACTTCTTCCTTATGATAACATCCTCCTTGATCTTGAATTGAGTTGGTGAAAACATGAGTCAAGAGAGAAGAAGATGAAGTTCCGACAGAAGAAGCTTGAGTCTTTGCACTACTGTGGAGTTGATGCTGCTTCTGATCTTCACTAAAGGACACAGGAAAAGGAGAAGAAGATGAATTTAAGTAAGTTGGAGTCATGGAGAGAGAGAGAGAGAGAGAGAGCTCCTCCAGCAAAGTTAGAAGAAGATGTCTGAGAGATGATGAAGAGAGACAGAAAGGGATAATGGGGGAGCATCAAAAAGGGGCTAATGAAGCTGGAACACTTTTAAAGAAGAGTCAGGAAGGAGTGGAAGCAGAGATTTGGAAGATATTCACGTGACTTGGTGACACCCAAACAAACAACTTATTATAAAGACAAACCAAAAAGAGAAGAGTCGAATGCTACCACACGAGCCCATTTCCCACAAAACCCTATCTGCAAAAAATAAATAAATAAATAAATAAAACAAACAAAAAAATATACCTCTCGCTTTTCTGAACAATTATCGTAATACACAAATATAGATGAAGGTTAAACAATTACGGACTTAAATTTCCAAATTCTCTTATTAGAGAATTATGTTTCACATGATTGAATTCTTCTAACGAATCAAAAGTTAACATATAAATTTTTTTTATTCTTTTGATAATTGAGTGTTTGGGACAGTTTTCGTGTAGATGTCCTATTTAAAGTCAAAACAAACGTCTTGTATAGACTAGCCACAAGAATTTTATTGCAATTAGTGAGTATTAAACCTGAGACATGGAGAGAGTACACTCCGCAGACCCAAGTTGTACCCACTAGACCAACCCGTTGAGGTTAAAGTTAACATATAACTTGTTATGTTATTATAGGTAAACTACGAAAGGCTTTTTAGGAGTAGTAATACTATATGTAAATTTTTTTAATTTAGCCGAAAGTATCAATGTGTGATTCGTGTTCATTCTATATATTGATGTAAAAATGCACCGATTATTTTATTTTTTTTTGGAAAATTTTTCATAATAAATAGTTTTCTTTTAGGGGTCTCATTTTTTTTTTCCTCACAAATATATGATCTCAAATACAATCAGGCTCCAATATCTCAACTATATATACTCAATAATTATTTTTTCACTAATAATGATTAATACGAGAGAGAAGATAAAACAACAGGCACAACATTGTCATGTACTACTATGTCTATATATATATATTTCTTTTTGATCGGCAAAAGAAAAAAACTTTATTGATGTAAAAATGAAGTACAAAGTGCAAAACACATTACATCAAAAAAGGGAAGGAAAATGCAAAGACATCACAATGAGCTAAATCATCCCAACTAGGTTGGCACCAAAAAGTCCATTCTATCATTTGCTAGCACTCCCAGAGTTGGCGAGAAACCAACAAGAAAAAAGAAGAAAAACATCCACTAAAACAGACATAGCAACATAGAGCCACAGAACAAACAGACAGCCTGAACCTATCTTTTTTTTTTGATCAACAAAAGCCCACTTTATTGATGAAGAAAGTATAACATACACAGCTTACATCAACAAAGAGAGAAGAGCAAGAAGCACAAGACCCTAAATTGGTGAGGAACCAATAAAGGAAACAAAGAGCAGGATAAAAGAAAGAGTAGAAGACAGAGCAGGATAAGGATAAGTATAACATACACAGCCTGAACCTATCTGAGCAGGGACCATCACACCAACATCATAACATACCATACCAGGGACCATAGCCAACTCACCAACTCACCATAGCCAACATCATAACATACTACTATGCCTATATATGCTTAATCTATTATTGAAACAAATATTTAGTATAAGGGTGACACATTTACTCCATGAAATGGGTTTGTGGGTTTGTGAAATTAATCAATTTGGGAAAAAAATAATCACATGGGTTGTATACTCTTTTTGTATGTATGTCCTCATGCAATGATAGGTTCAAATTTACAACTAGATCAGATTTTTTATTTTGTGATGCAAGAAAATGAAGCAGCATGTTTGAGCAAGTGCATGACCCATCTTTGGAATAAATATTTAGAGTGGCATAAGGTGACAATAATGTTAGGAAGATTAATAAGCGTATTAACTAAACGCAGTATTGAGTGAATCTTATATCAATGGATTACATACAAATTCCGTCTCTTAGTTAATATGCTTATTAATATGTTTATTAGTATCTTCAACATTAAAAAAAAATTGTTATACCTAATAATATTCTTGTTATTGCCTTGAGATGGAGGGCACCATAGATGCTCCTGTGAGACACTATAACATCTCACTGCAATGAATGGCATTTGGATTTTATCATGGCTATTTGTGTGTGTATATAAATATATTAGGGTATTGGGAAGAGATGAGTTAGATCTGCGTGGGAAGATTCTCTCATGATCACCTTAGTCTTGCCAAAGGAATTGAATGCTTGTGCAGGCAAGGGGCAGATACAGCCAGCTCCCACCCCACCCCACATCTATGCCATCCAATATATCTTTTTCTATTTTTTTTTTTTCAACAGTAAATTACGTTGGCCTCCCTGAGATTTGTAGAAAACATACCAAGTATTATAATTTTGACATAATTACATTAATTTCTATTTTAATAAAGACTAAAATGATCGAAACTAATGCAGATGATAAAAAAGCACATGGATAATAAGAAAAAAAAATTAGTGTAAAAGAGATGATAATATCATTTTATTTATTTATTTATCTATATAACTAACAAATTATTAATAAAAAATAGGCTAACTGTTATATGAATTAAAAAATTGAGGGGGGCCAATATAATTATGAAACTTATTGTATTTTGTTCAAATCTCAAAACAGATCAATGCAATTTGCCTTTATTTAAATTGTTTTATAGAATACATATGATCAATATGCTTATTTATTTAAAAAGAAAGGAAGCTAAAAATCTTAAAAATTCCTCTTACTTTTCTCTCTAAAATTTCTACCAGGAAAGAGAGAAATGATGGTGGTTCCCCACCTCTTTGATCTCCCTCCGTTCGATCCTAGATCTGGTTCTTAACTTTGGTTTGATGTTTGCCTCAGTAGTTTGGCTATCACCACCATATCTTTCCCACCCTTGAGCTCAAAACTTTAAAATCTAGCTTCAAATCTTCTCATAATCCAAATGCCGACATTTGATAACACGTTTGGTTCATGTTAGGCGACCATTTCAACTTCAGTATTCTATATTGACCAGCAGATGTGGGGTCTTTAGATTCCAAGTTGAAGATTACATAGTAGTAGAGTTTTAGATAATTTTGGTAGCAATTTGGATATATATATTTTTTTTTGTTTAGTTTTCTTAATTTTTAGTTTGTTGATGTAATAATCTTTCACGTGTAGAGATTTGTTTCCCTCCCTTGAAGAGGAAGGGGGGAGGGGGCTTTTCTCCACCTCTATGGAGGCTTGAATCTTTCATTCTATGGAAGTTATTTATATCTTTTTGAGATCTTATAATATCGTTGTAACAGATTGATCTGATGCAATGAAGATTTTCTTTCCGATTAGAAAAAAAAAGATGCTTATTTATTTATAGAAAAATTACACCTGTAATATCCATTATTTAACTTGTGTCAATTTGATACTTATAATTCTAATTGTATTAATGCACTTTTAAATTGTTCATTTTATTTCAATTTTGTTCAATTAATGATGCCAATTTAAAAATTGAACCACAATCAATCAAACGAAAAAGTAGTCTAAGCACTCTCTCAAAATAATTGATCGGTTGACATCTAATTTGAAATGATCCTACCTTTTTTGAATGAATATTTTTACCATTGATTCCTGTCCAATTTCTTATTGGATGTATAAATTGAAGTTTGACACAATGTTAAAAAGTAAAGGCCAAAATCAATATAATCAAAATTATAGGGATCAAATTATCAAAAAAATAAAATATAATAATAATAATAATAATAATAATAATAATAATAATATTTATAGAGGAGTGTTGCTATTAGCATCCCTCTTATTACTTTGGAGCCCCAATTTTTTAAATTTTTTATTACAATAATAACCTCAAATGAAATTATTAAAGAAGACATCAATTATTTTGGGACACCCTATTTTACAATTAAACTCACACACCCACTTAATAATAAGATAAAGTTTATGAGAGTATTCACCTTTATCACTACCCACACACTTCAAAATCTTCAAAATTTACCCACCCTCAAAACCTTGAGAACTCTTAGGTGGCGATATTCCAGCAACAATGGTGGTAACCATTCAATTACACACATTTCTCTAGTAATGACAATGAGTGAAATTTTTTTTGGTAACTATAATTCCATGAGATGAATGGAGTACAACATTACAGGCTCAGAGAAGGTTCATAACTCAGATATTGTTCGTAGTTTGGAGGAGGTTGGCTTTGTAATGATAAGTTTCTTCAAAAACACTGGCAAAAATAGTGAAAATAGTTACTTCGAAAACATGCAGAAGTTTTAATTTTCTAAGGTTCGGGAAGAGGAGGCTGAATATTAGTTATTTGTTTGGTAGCATAGGCCCGAACAAAGGTTATTTGTTCGAGAACACAAGTCCGAACAAATGAATTTCTTAAAGTTTGATAGGCCAAATTTGTGTACATGTGCAGAGTTCTTGTTTTCGAAGGCTCGGGAACACATGGCTGAATATCAATCATTTGTTTGGTAACACATGCTCAAATATAGGTTATTTAACATGTCCGAATAAGGAAATTTCTTAAAGTTTGATGGGGAGATATATATATATATATATATATGTTGACGTGAAACTTGTGAATATGGGTTTTGCAAAACTTGTTTTCTTATTATGAGATTCACAGTGAGAGAGAGCGATAGAGATACCACCGTGAGAGTGAGAAACGTGATCGATAGGACAGTCAAGCTCAAATTTGAACTTCTAGGATTTTGGGAGATGAATAGTTTTACGGGTGTGCATTTTAGTAGATGTAAAACTTTAAAGAATAATTTTGGCATTGTTGGAGGGAGGGGGGGGAGGGAGAAAATTTTTAAGAATTTTAAAATTTATAAGTGGGATTTCAAAAAATATTGGAGTTCAAATTAATAAGTGAGTTGCTAATAGCATCACTCTTTATAGGGACCACATGTATAAATTTTGCCCTTGTTTATTTACTAATTTTCATCTATTGCCCTCAGTTTAATTTTTGGGAATGGTTAGCCATTTTTTGAGTGAATAATAGTGAGCCATTTTCCCCCTTGTTTTATTATATTATAGTTATAGTAGAAGAGCATAAAAGAGAATGCTCCAAAAAGAAAGAAAACAAAGAAAAGGTATCCTTAGACTTGCATATATGACCCAAATTAGTACCCACACTACAAGAAAATAGTGATTTAGAGAC